GCGCCCGGACGCGCGAATTATGTCAGCAGTCAACTCCAGTCACAACACAACCGCAGAGATCAGCCCTATCATGGCTCAGGCAACATTTCCTGATGATGTACTCCCGCCCGAGGGCATATACGACTCTAGGGAGGCTCTCCTTTTATCCATTAACTCTTGGGCGAAGCTTAGAGGCTATGCTTTCACGACGGGGAAATCCTTAAAAACCCCAAACGGTCGAGTCAAGGTTGTATTTGCATATAATCGGAACAAGCCACCGCCAAGTATATCTGCCGAAAGGATACATCGTATATACAGCCGAGGGACTGGTTATAAGTTCTCAGTACTTGCCAAACAATCCCTTGGGGGGGATTCATAGGTCCTAAGCTACCGGCCGAGCCAGGAACACATAATCCATAATCACCCTCCGAGCGGAGACCTATCCGTACACCCTGCGTACCGCCAACTTAAGGAAAACGATATAAAAGCTATATCAAGTCTTATAGCTTCTGGAGCTGCCCCTTGGGAAATTAGAACCTATCTTCAGAAATACTCCGATACCCTCGCAACCCAGAAGGATATCTACAATCGAATTGCGGCTACGAGGCGAGATCTATGTGAGGGTCAAAGCAGCATCCAGGCACTAGTCGACCAATTGAGCAGGGAGGGTTTCTGGTGCAGAGTCCGATTGGATCCTGGTAATCGACTAACGGCTATCTTCTTTGCCCACCCAGACTCTATTGTATATCTGCAATGCAACCCCGACGTCTTGATATTGGATTGCACCTACAAAACAAATAAGCATGCTATGCCACTTCTTGATATGGTCGGCGTTGACTCCTGCCAAAGCTCTTTCTGTATCGCCTTCGCGTTTCTCTCCGGTGAGACAGAGGAGGACTACTCGTGGGCCTTGCAACATCTCAAATCCCTTTACCAGCATGATCTTCCTTCAGTCATTTTGACGGACCGGTGGCTGGCAGCGATGAATGCTTCAGCCACCTGGTTCCCCCTCTCTAAGTCACTGCTTTGCCTCTGGCACGTCAACAAGGCAGTCTTACAGCATTGCCGACCTGCCTTCATGCTGGGCGGTGGAGATCAGCCAGAAAAGGCACGGGATGAATTCTATGCATCCTGGCACTCGATTGTAGCCTCTCCAACTGAAGCAGTATTTCAGGAGCGCCTGACTAGCTTCGAGTGCAAATACGCCAAGAAGTACACAGAGGCCGTTGGGTATATCAAGACAGTCTGGCTTGATCCATATAAGGAGATGGTCGTCAAAGCATGGGTAGATAAATACTTGCATTTCGGCAACATTGCTACCTCAAGGCAGGTAGATTATAGGGCCATGGAGCCGTAGGGGATAGATACTGATAAACTTCCTAGGGCTGAAGGAATTCATTCCCTGATAAAATCATACATCAAGACTTCTGCTCTAGACCTCTTTGATACCTGGCAAGCAATGAAACCGGCCATTACTAACCAATTGAGAGAACTAAGCCATGTACGGGCCTCTCAGCAGTTACGGATACCTCTAGATATCTCCGGAGTGTTGTTTGAGGCTATACGGGGTTGGGTCTCGCATTAGGCTCTACGCAAGGTGCAGGAACAACAACGGTTGATTCCAGCGCTCAAAGCTCCCTGTAGCCAGAGATTCACATCATCGCATGGACTACCGTGTGCACATACCTTGAAAAAGCTGGAGGAAGAAAGGAAGACCCTCTTGCTAGAACAATTTCATCCTCATTGGTACTTGAAGCGGCATGTAGATCAACCACGGCCTATGTTGGAGCCTAGAGCAGCCTCGAGCCAGCATAACGAGAGACGCAACCAGCCGGCAAAAAGTACGAGGCGAGAGCCTAGTGCATTTGAGGCAGTTGAGGCCGCGGTACAGCCGAGGGCACAGCCTACGTGCAGCAGATGCCACTCGTTAGGACATAAGATGACCTGGAAAGCATGCCCTCAGCGGTACGAAGAGCTTTTGCAATCGTCAGTAGCATCATCATCATCGGCGGCAGCACCCGAGCAGGCACTGGAAGCACCTATAGTACCGCCATCGGGATCGCCAGAGCATGCAGGATCAGGTGGAGATGGTCCCGGTTGCATTGTCGTTAATGTCGGTGGCATGAGTAGCAGAGCGCCAGCAGTGTCGCTAGCAGCGCCATCAACACAGGCAGGGGCGGGGCCTTCATTAAGATATGATGACCCCCGAGCTATCTATCAGAGATATGTTGTCGCTCGAGACACATGGTACAAGGCCCAACTCAGTGAAAGTGTTAAAAGCAATCAAAAATATAGGAAGGCGATGGGTCTGCCTCTACGATACGATAAAGCGAGCTACCAGTGGTGCCTAGACTGGAAGCAGATGGGTGCACGCTGTATATTATCCCCAGGGTCTAGAGATTGGACTAAGGAAGAGATGATAGCCTACCTAGATTGGAGTAAGGCGGAAGATGATCGGGTTGAGGCTCAGGTAGCCGCAGAGATGGAAAGCAATCCTTTTTCTGTTGGTAGAAGAGGCATGCGAGAGATATGGGAGGCGGCTGCAAAGGATGACAGAGAGCAGCAGAGCTTATATTCAACTAAGTAGTCTTTCTGGATTTATGGCCGTTCTAGATCTTAGAATCTAAAGTTTTTGCGTGTTGATAACTAGCCGCGGCTCCCCCTGACTGATCTCTGCGGTTGTGTTGTGACTGGAGTTGACTGCTGACATAATTCGCGCGTCCGGGCGCCTCTGTAGCGGGGGAGGAATGTGGTCGACGACGGCCGTTCCGAAATAATCCCGAAAAGGGGCTGGGTGTGACTTTGTCACACCCACTCAATACGGCTCTGTGCATCTCGTGCTACACAACATGCCTATGACAGCGCCATAGCGTACCAAGGCCACTCCAGATTGATTGAGGACCATCCTATCGGAAGCCATCTCGACATTTTTCGCGATTCTTTCACCTCCCTCTGCAAAGACAGAACCATCTTTCACTCGCCTGATCCGCTTGCCCACTTTACCCATGAAGGTAGGATAAATAAACTTCGCTGCGGTCTACTCCCCTAACTAGGTCGCAGATATCCAGAATCTCGCTCTCGATCTCCTTTCCTTTCTGCGAAAACTCCCCGTCATTCTCTTATTGCAATCAAAGACAGGCCACGGCCCCCTCCGAAACGATCTCCTTAAACTCATTTCTGCTGTTGCCTCCAATGAGTTCGATGTTAACCGCGTCAAACCCTTGTTAAAATCCGCGCTCGCTGATGAGCTAGACGATGCCCTCATCTGGAAACATCTCTACGACGCTGTCACGGAATCCACCCCTCCTCCCCGGCCAATACCTTCGTCAATCCAACAAACGCCGTTGAGTCAGAACACGGGCGGCCTGGTGAACTCATCAGAGTTCCGCCAGGATGTGGACCCGATCCTTAAGTTGGAGCTCGGGCCACTCTATGCTGGACTTCCTAATTCCACAAAGTTTTCTTTGGAGACGTGTCGGACCTCGACACGGTCTCTGAGACCGTTTTTCGTCGGTGTACCGAAGGTGATCATCCACTATTTACTGACGGTTGGACCGGATGGCTAGCAACTGCCAAGGAGAGCGACGTGTTGGCTTGGTTTGGTGGCATAATCCCGAAGCTGGAATCCTTCGTAAGCGACCGCATTTCGACTCCAACGACTCGGCGAAAACTGTTGGCGCAGCCCAGGACTCCCTTGATTGGCTCCACAGGCAAACGCAGTATGGATATCGGCTTTGTTAATAGTAATATCACATACAACCCTGACTCTGAAGATTCAAGATATCGCTGGTCACACATCCTCGTTGCCGGCGAGCTGAAAAGCAACCCCAAGGCGGACACAGCGTCGATTGCATGGATTGACCTTGCAAGGTATGTGAGAGAAGTTTTCGGCGCCCAGGAGACCCGTCGCTTCGTACTGGGCTTTACATTCTGCGGGCCTCTGATGAGGGTATGGGAGTTCGACCGGCTTAGGGGGATCGCCTCCGAACAATTTGACATTAACAGCAAGGATGGTGGGCTACGGTTGTGACGACCATCTTGGGATTTCTGCGGGTGAACGAGGAGATGCTTGGGTTTGACCCCACCATTAGAACATTCGGCGACCAGCAATATATCGATATCGAACGAAACGACAAAAAGAGAGCGTCTCATCATTGACGAGGTCATGAAGCGAGCATGTTGCGTTGCTGGTCAGGCGACAATCTGTTGGAGAGCATATCGCAAGGAGGATCCGCAGACGCCGCTTGTTATCAAGGACTCATGGCAATATACGGATGGGGACGAAGAAGGCGAACTCCTCCGAGAGGCGACTCAGAAAGGTGTTGCTAACGTTGCCCGATATTACCACCATGAGACCGTTCGCGTACGAGGTTCCAATGACGACATTCAACAAAACATTCGAAAGGGCCTGGACGTCACGGAAGCCGCGAATTATCGGCCAGGACGTGCGAAGCTGCAGTCTAGTACGAACGTATCTATTTCCCGCAAAGGGCGAAGTACCAGCGCTGGCGTGAAGCGGCCATCCAGCGATGCTAACGCCACTCTACCGCCGATTAAGCGATCCTGCCCAACGTCTCCAACAAAGGCAAGCGGCGAACGACCACCAAACCGGGTGCACCGGCGAGTTATTCTTCGCGACTATGGAAAGCCAATCTACAAGGCAAGCTCCGCCGTGGTGCTGCTTTCTGCGCTGGAAGGCTGCGTCGAGGGACACGAGTTGTTGTACAATGCCGGTCTTCACGGGGACATTTCTATTAACAACCTCATGGTGAATGAGGATGATAGTAACCCTTCCTGGCGAGCTTTTTTGATTGACCTAGACCTTGCTATAATTGAGGAACGAGTGAGTGCATCAGGAGCCAAGGGAAAGACGGGCACGAGGGCTTTTATGGCAATTGGGGCGCTTCTCGGCGAGCAGCATTCCTTCATGCACGACCGCGAATCATTTTTCTGGGTGTTATTCTGGACATGCATTCACTGCAACGGACCGAACGAAAGCGTAGTCGTGCCAAGGTTTGAGAAGTGGAATTATGCCGACACGAGGGAGCTAGCCGAGCTCTAAAAGGGCCAAGTATCTCATGAGGGGGATTTCATCAGAGCGACCGAGGAGAATTATAAGTTATTAAATTGATAGCTATTTCAGGCTAAATTTGACTTTTTAATAGATTTTTAAAACACCGGGTTTAACGTATAAATAGAAAGTGGAGCACTTGCTTATCAACCACGTTATGTCAAATGCGCTGAAGGTGTTTATGGACCTAACCAATCAATAGTGCCGGACCCACAGAAGCTCCTATTGCAGCGCCGTTCCTTTGGGGGCCGAATAGATACAACCCCGCTTAGGCAAGGCGTTTTCCAGTCCTTTCTCTTCCCCACGACGCCACGATGTCTTTATATGAGTATTCCAAGCTAGTCGACGACGATATTCGAATACTCACATTGCTACCTGGTCAACCTGAGTCTGACATCAAGATCATAATTCACCATGCGTCACTCAGGGCCACGAGAGAGGAACCTCGTCAGCACGGGCCTTTGAATGACCTGCAGAAAAGCTTGCCATCCGGTTGGGAAGCAGAAGAAACCGCCGAGGGCCGATGCCTATTCTGGAATGAAAATTTGCATACCTCTTCCTGGGCTCACCCTAATGGAAGTGTTACTCGATCGCTGCATGGCTCTCCTGCCAATGATATAACGTGTTTCCCACAATATGAGGCTCTATCATACACTTGGGGCAGTACAAGTAACCCGCAAACCGTCCAGGTCCTCTCCCAAGGTGGCTTATGTGAACTCAGGACACTTCATATTGGGGAAAATCTTGCCAGCGCCTTCAAACATCTCCGATATCCTGATACGGCTCGGACACTGTGGGCTGACGCAATTTGCATAAACCAAAGCAGTATTTGTGAAAAGAATATTCAAGTTCCTCGCATGGCCGATATCTTTCGCTCGGCAGTCCGTGTTGTGATCTGGCTGGGACAAGAATCGGACAATAGCACGCTTGCGTTATCCACGCTAGACTACTTGGCCACACAGGTCGAAATTAACAAGGCAAACTGGGTTCGACCTTCGCCTGGATGCGTGCGCCAAGACTGGTTTGATTCGCTCACCGATATGCCATATGACGACAGTACTTGGCAGGCTATTGCAGACTTGGCAAACCGCCCCTATTTCAACCGACTATGGGTTGTGCAAGAGATCCATCTCTCCAACCACAATGCAGTCGTACAATGCGGAATATATCAGATGACATGGAAACGATTCCGCAGGGCAGTTGTATGTCTTATGTGGAAGAGACACATCCCTCAATGTGTTTCCTCGAGCAAGCTCCCAAAGCTTGGCACATTCTGCTATAACTTCGAAGGCCTGAACTTCGCTACCTTGCTCCAGGTGGTCACACATCTAGAATGCTTCAACCCTCATGATAAGGTATACGGGCTTCTTGGACTCGCTTCGTCTAACTTGCTGCCTCATATTCGACCAGAGTATGCTCTGCCCGTGGCAACAGTTTATCGCAGTCTGTTTCTGGGCTTGAAGTACCACTTGCAGCGGCTACACTTCGAATTCTGTAGCTTGCGAACAAGTCGGCCTAGGCAACTTCCTTCGTGGGTTCCCGATTTGTCTGGTAACTTAAGCGAGTTGCTATCCCGAGCGGCGGGGCTGGTATCTGGGATGTCTTGTGCTGAGGCAACTTATCGCGCCCCTGACATTCTTGAAGTGTGCGGCGTCAAGGTGGCCACTGTGCAAAGCAACAAAGGGACATATCCAGATGGCATAACTAAGCGGCTGACAGCACTCCACACTTGGAAGCCAGAAAGCTTGATGACAGGGAAATACCCTACAGGGGAAAGCATCCTGGACGCGTTTATCACCACTCTTGTCCAGGGTAAACTTAGAGATCGGTTCCCCGCTATAGTGACTTGGTCCTCCCTTCAGGAATTAAAAGACAAACTCGCGGAAGTATTGGCGGGCTCTATGGGTTCTTCTGACGAGCCTACCAGAAATGTTGATATTAGTAGCTATGCCCATGAACTCCGGTTCCTCCCCGAACAGGCCTTTATCACTTGTAAAACGGGATATTTTGGCCTGAGCCATCGGGACGCAAAGCCAGGTAAGTAAATAACCCTGAAATAGCTTGACTGTACAGTCTGGAAGCTGAATATGTGTAGGTGATATCGTATGTGCCTTTCTTGGCTGTCAAGTATTAGTTATTCTTCGTCCATCGACAACGGGGTATTTTCAAGTTATTGGTAGTTGTTATCTCCATGGGTTCTCTAGCGCGGAGGCCTTCCTTGGCCCTCTCCAAGTGCCATGGGTCATGCTGTATAAGCCCGACTCCTGCGGAGTCCAAACTCCCTATTTCTTCAACAAAGACACATTGGAAGAGGTCCAGCAAGATCCTAGGTTAGACCAGCTACCTGTTGGGTGGGAAGCCATTCAAGAAGATAGGACAAAGGAAGATCCTCAATTGTTTTCGTGGTTTCGGAACAAGGTTACTGGAGAGACTATGAATTCCGATCCTCGTATGCTCCCAGAAGCTTTGCGTGATCGAGGAATTAACTTAGAGCTATTTAAACTAGTCTGAGACTTAGAGTAGGAGTTGCGAGAACGCTTGTCACACGAAAAATATTGAATCAATTTCTCTTAGCTATCTGGAACT